TGGAACACAAGAGACTGGGGGTGGGGAGACCAAGAAGCTATGACAACAGTCTGATGGGGGGCCTCATGGCCTGGTCTGTGAAAGTTAAAGAGAAGCAAACGCTTTCTTTGCAAGTTGGAAGTTATGCATATCTGTTTTATGAAAGTAACCCTGAAGAAATGTCTAGTCATCCCAGTCTATATATTGTTATTCTTAATACAGAGCACTAGAAGAGACATACTGTTAAAAGTTGTGATGGAAACAGAGATGTGTAAGATATATCACTTGTTTTCTACCCTTGGCAAGGTAGCTATGGCATGATTAGTTTATTATAGAATGAGGAAGGTGGTATTTGGGCATTAGAGGCAGAGGCAATGGTTCAGAGCTGGTAGCGAAAGAATGGGTAGGTGGATGGGTGGATTGATGAATGCGAAAGTAGAAAATCAGTCTATTACTAGAGAAAGTGCTTGAAAATTACCTTAAAAATGCAAACACTCAAACTAATAGTACATGACAAGCTTTTTTAAATGTATAGTTAATATAACTTTATATATGTGGTACTTGCAGAAAACAACCTTGAATTGCCATACTTAAGTGCATATAATTGGAAAGGAAACATTTGCCAAGAATTGAATTACAAAAATTCAAGCCAGGAAATATCCCGTCAGCCTTTTCACAGGGTTAGGGTGTGAGAAATCATGCACCTGCCTTGGAGCAGAGCCCTTGGCATCGACGTCTGTACTGAGATTTAGGAACATTCAGGAGAGAAGACTGTTAAACCAGCAAAATTCCGAGAAGTGTGCACAATAGCTGATCTCAGCCATGATTCCATGTACTCCCTTTAAATCGTATTTTTGAAACTGTTTTGAGCAAGAGATGGTCCCTTAGAAGATAAGGCCCACCTAACTTCGGCAGTGGCTTTCCTTTGTGTCCCGTTGGTGCATACTGACTCACTTTGAAGGACTTTATACTTACAGTGAGGGCACTTTGCTCTGATCTTCTGCCATTTTGTGAATTCAACTTGCTAAAAATAATGACTTGGATTTGTGTAACAGATCTGTGTTCATTAAGTTATATTTCTTCACATATGTAATCACTTTATCATCACACAGCTCTTATCAGGCAATATTATTATGCTCCCCAGATAAGCATTGCTGAACAGTGGTTCAGACAGATAAGGGGGTGTGCACCGGGTTCAGCTGCTTAGTCCATTTCCTGCTCTACAGTTGTCCTTGCCTGCTGGAGAGATTACGTCCCTTTTGATAGGTCATTTCCTTAGCCCTGTCACCATCCACGCATGTCTGAATGAACAGAATGTAAAAACAAGTGTTTTAAATTAAATTATATTTTCATAAGTTAATTATAATGTTTCTGAGAAGAGTTACCAAGAAGTAACTCTTTTGAAAATTTTAAGTCCCCTAAAATGTTCAGAAGAAATTGTTTTGCATAAGAAAATTTCACTGTCCTATAAATTCTGAGAACTCTTCATATAAAAGGTACATTTCCTGGAAACCACTTTATTAACAGCTAGAGTAGATTATGTGGTAAAAAGAACTAAGTACTTTAACAGTTAGTTTAATGCAGTATGATACAATAGTGAGCCAATAATTCTTGCCAAAAAAATTCATCTTTTACATTTATTTTCTTGGAATATAGAAATGACCATCCCTGATATCTACATTAAGAAGCAAGTCAATCAGTTTCTCTTTGTTGGTGTAGTTGCTATTAAAATGTTTCTTACCTCTATTTATAGAAATTTATCTTAAATCTTGTATTTCGGGGATTGAAGAGAAATGTGCTATGATTATAATGTAGGAGTGGGAAAAAACACCTAAAATGGGAAATCTTGGGCTCAGATCCTGGCTATTATGTTTATCCTCTGTCCTTGGGAAAACAGCCTCACCTAGTTGAGCCTCAGTTTCTCTTTTTTTCAGAAAAAGGAGGAGGCTAGAGCCCAGAAACCTGGGTTTTATAAGCTGTCCAGGTAATTCTGATGCACAATGAGGGATGAGGACAATTGAAAAATAGAAATATATGAGAAAACACTCTGAAAAAACTCTCTAAAGAGTGAGTGGAAGAACAGAGTCCTCTTTGTATAACTCTGTAAATGCCAAGCATAGGTGCCCAACTGTGTGTTGAATGTTGCTCCCTCACCCGTGAATACCCTGTCTCAAATCCCCAGGGGAATCCCCAGGTCACAAACAGGGCTCTATGTGGAATCACTTTAAATTAACTTCTTACATCAAATGTCAATGGGACTTTGTTGTCAGATAAGGAATCCACCTGTAGAAGCACAGAACTTTCTTCTAGAAAAAAAAATTGTATCTATATGGGTTGATATTGGCTGTTCTACTATTTGCTTCAGTGAAACAGACTTAGCTATTAACGTTTTTTTTCCGTTGCATCTTCTACTTTAACTACAAGATTAAGCAATGTGTCTCATCACCATGGAAAACTCAGTGGTGTGGCAGCAGCCTGCTCTTTAGTTCCAGGATTTTATACTTAAGTATATTGTTTGAAAAAAAATTGAATAGCCAGTCTATTCTTACAAATGGCATGTTTCTGTAACTGTTTGCTTAAAGAAAACTTCAATGAGTAATAACCAGGCAGCAATGCCTTCTGACAATTATCTGTGTTATTTTCCTATCAACTATCCAACAGATTCTCACTTTAGGAATGTATTTTATAAGGTTGTTCTGAATCGCCTCGATTATCTTCCTAAAGGGATTGTGCTAGGGTTGAGAATGCATGGAGAGCTTCCAGCTGGTACTAACACCCTTGTGGTTGGACCGAGATATCGTCCACTTTTACACCAGGGTCAGTCTGGTCTCAGGCATAATTGTGAAGATGCCAAGTTTGCCTTTAATGTCTCCAACCTCTTCTTTCTATAACCACTTCTTCCCTTGGTGGCACCTCTGCCTCCAAGGCACTTTGCACTCATTTCTCTCTTTCTTATCAAAAGCTATTTTCAGGGAAAGGGGTGGGTATGCTACCTTGCTGATTGTCATTTCTCCAAAGGAGTTGCCAACTGCCAGGGACATTTGTTTCAATTTTAATTGAGCAAAGTCTTAAACTACAGTATTGGTTCCCAATGCGTGGTCCAGAACAGCAGTCTCAGCATCCCTAGGGAACTTCTTACAAATGAAAAATCTCGGATCCCACCAGACCTATTCAATCAGAAGCTCTAGGGTGGAGCCACTCAGCTGTGTACTCTAAAGGTGAGACACGCACTGGTCTAAAGCGGGAAACTCTAATTAGTGTGATCATAGTTTTTAGGACAGAGGTGCCTTTCTGATACCTCCTAAATTGTATTCCTTCTACTACTATTCATGAGGTTGCTTGTGTCTGGTGCACCTTCTTCAGTATGTCTACTCAGTGAAGCAAAAATACCAGAATCTCCTCAGAGTAAAAGAAGAGAGAGACATCGAGTCTCTCCAATAGGTAATAGCCCTCTGTAGGTTACTAAAGTCCACTTTTCAATCTACAGTTTGAAGATCTGATCTTCTTGGTTCATTGACATTGTCTGTGAACAGACAAAACTTGAAAATACACTAAAAAAAATCTCAGGGTACAAGAGTTAGGGAAGAAAAACCAAACAGTGTTGCTATTCTTAAAGAGAGAGAATAAATTGAATAACCATGAGCATCTTAGTCAAAGACACACCCTGATGGTTACTTACTTTTAATTTTGTTATGATCGAGGTGAAGGTGCTGCAGGTGAGCACTGATTCGGGGGACTTTTGTGAGCTGGTTGTGAGACAATTGAAGATCTAGAATTGATGATACATTAAAACCACTTGAAGGGAGACCAGCATCTGATAATTTGTTGTGGTTGAGTCTCAGGAAGGCCACTTTAGGAATCACATTAAAATAATTTTCTGGTATTCCTTCTATGGAATTGTTGTCTAAAAACAGCTGCATTGTATTGGCTGGTAATCTTGGTGGCATATTCCTCAGGGCGTTCTTAGCCATATTTAGTTGCATGAGGTTCTTGAGTCCCTTGAAGGTGTCTCTTTGAAAGGCATTGTCCAATAGTTTATTGTGCTGCAGGTCAAGAAGGGTCAGGTTCTCTAGATTGCTGAAAGTCCCTTGAGGAATTCTGGATACCTTGTTTCTAGCTAATTGCAGTTGTTCTAAACTTCTTGGCAATGGAGAAGGTACCTCCTCTAGCTCATTGTCTTCCAGAAATAAGAAAAGCAGCTTCTTTAGTTGGCTCAGGGCTCCTTTTTCAATTCCATAGTTGGTTATTTTGTTCTTGTTTAGATTTATCCATCTCAGCTGGGTGGCATTCTCGAATGGCTTCTCAGGAATGGTTTCTATCAGGTTGTTTTCAAGATAAAGATACCAGATCCTTGATGGTATAGCAGGGATTTCTTTGAGACCTCGATTTTCACAGTACAAAGAAGTAGGGAAACTGGGGGGACAGAAACATTCCCTGGGACAATCGAAGTCATGCACCGTCCAGTCCTCTGGATCACTTCCCTCATAAACCTGTCTCACACTTCGAGTCCATACAGTATCTGTTATGAATAACACCCAGATGATGAAACAGATTGTGGTTGCCATTATAGTACCTAGAATAAGGGATACAACTGTTAGATGTTTAAAGAACTGAATCTTTAAATAATCACATGCATCAAAATGATCGGTAAACATTGCTGCTTGGTGGGGTGGGGGAGATAAAGACATGTCAGCATTTTATACACAGTTATCAACTAATCCCCATAGTAGGCACTCTATGCAAAGCATTTTTGCAAACACTGAAACTGACGCACCAACTTGTAACTTTCTGGTTTTAACCCAATCACAATGAAAACTGAGAAATAAAAAGCAAATTTTTGGGAACTCTTAAGTGCTTTTCCACTTCAAGCTATTTAATTCAAGGAAGTTAGTTGAAACCCAGAGTTGAATACATGAGTACAAAAAAGTGACCTTTCAGTAACTCAGATTTAGCGTCTGTGTTGTTCCTAAGAAGTAGGCATATGCTTTTACTTTTACCCCTAAATGAGCAAAACATCTGGAGGAGATTTTCCCAGGCTCTTTGGCCCTTGAACCAAAGAAACAGAGAGATCAAAGAACATTTTAACGGTTTGTGTGTGTGTGTGTGTGTGTGAAGAAAGGTTTTAAAATTCGAAGAAAAGCAGGGTGATTAATCTCTTGCTCTGTTGCTCAACTTCTCAGGTAAGTTTTATTCTGGGGTGCAGGGAAAGACGTCTAATGTTCTAAGTACAGGATCAAGTTGTTTAGCCAAGATATCTGGATTATGAAACTCTCTAGACATAAATGTAAATACAGATATAGGTGTAGATATAGATATCTATCACACTTACAAAAGTAGTGTATTCAGCTGTGGCATTACTATGGTTGATACGAAACAAAACAAAACAAAGAGCATGTTTAGCATACAGGTGGACTTCCATATTTTCGATGTGGCTACTAGCAGAGCATAAGTTAATACTTATTCATGTACGATGCATTTAAAAGATATAAATCCTCCCCACTGAGGATCAACAAGTTTATGGAAACAAAGAACTATACTAACAGGAAAAAAAAATATATATATATATATCTATATAACAGTAACATCCTGACCAATGTACATTTAGTTCAACACTTGATAATAAGGAAGAAATAAATTTTATTGATTCCTTTGTGGAAAAGATAAAATCAGCATCATCTATAAAATGCTGATCTTTCCATTTTGCCACTAAATCAAGGGAAATGACAACTGCAGGGCTACTTCTGCATCTGCAAGCTATCGAATTTCTTGCAGTTGCAGAATGCTGCTCTGGTCATCTTCCAACAGAGACATATTAAAACATTATTTTTTCAGAATAGGGATTTGCATTAGTTATTGAAGCTGTAATTCTGCCTCTGATGAATATAACTTCGAATTCTTAGCTTTAAGAGTTTTGAAAAGTGTAAAATAGTTTACCTTGCTGTCCAGGAATGTATCGCTGAGTCCTGTGTCTGGGTCTGAAGTTTGCTAAAATCAGTTAAGGAGGAAAAAAGAAAAAAAAAACCTTTGACTAAAACAATTTGTTTTTATTTTATGCTGTCAAGACTCTTAGGAGAAAAAAGAAAACCTCCTCTGACCGGTCACCATGAACACCTTTGATCTATTGTTTCCACTTTGACAGAGCTTCAGGAGACGGCTTACCTCAGTTTTCTTGGAGCTTCTTCGTCCCTTTCTATTGGTCACAGCTCAGTCATAGTAATGGACTGACCCAGGCTCCACTGTCGTGTTTTTATGAATCCTCCCTAATATATATGCATCAATGGCTCCAACTTTAACCCCTCCAACAACCACAGCACCTCAGTACCTAGGCAGCTCAGCACGGGAAATTCTGACTTCATCTCAAGAACCTATAACAAAAATTCAGTGCAGTTTTCACTCTGAGCTCACAGTCCCAAAGATATTGTAATGCTGATCTGGAGACCTGATCTAATAGGAAGAAACTAAAAGCAGTTTTGATTTCAAGTGCAACAAAAAGATTTTAAAGCATTTTCTCTAGATGATCTTTTTTTAAAAAAATGGTAAAAAGAAATAAAGACCAACGTCTTCTGTTTATATGGAAATATTTTGTTCATTTTTCATATAAAACAGATGCTGGAATTCTATTTAGATATATTATTTTTGATTAACGGAAAAAGAAAAAATGTATTTGAAAAATTAAAAAATGAAATCTGGGAAGCTATACCTGATTTTTGGCACTAAACAGGGGTATGATGCTTTGTTTTCTAGAAATAATTTTTGTATCTGTATTTCGTATTGAGAGCTTTATTTCAAATAATTATTCAAATGAGATTTTTTTTTCCTCTCATTATAACAGATGTTTTGCATTTAGTCCATTACAGGGCATTCTGTTGCACTGCTTTTTTTTTAATTTTAACACAATTTAGAATAATGTGTCTTCTAGATCTTGTATTTGAGGGAAAAAAAGTTATTCCTCTTAAGGAAAGCCCAAAATTATTAAAAATCTCATTTTCAGAAATTATCCTGTTGATTGTAATCATTGTGTTTTTCAAAATCTATCTGATTCTGGAGAAAGGAAGTTGTATTGATATGACTTGTTGGACTCTGCTCACATAAGTATTTTCAAAGGACACAGTGAAAATGGGGGAGAATTTGACTCAAAAAAACCTTTTCTGAACCATCTACTTCCTTTCTCCTCAACACAGTTTTGTCATCCATAACATAGCACTGGACTGTCTCACAAGGGTGGCCCTAGTTTGTTGTAAACAATTATGGAAATGTTAGCCTTTCTGTGGTATTAGCCCTACATCTCAACTGGAAAATACTTTTAATTTTGAGGGCTCTTATAGCCTAAGATCTAATTCAGACATGATCTCTTAGTAGCTCAACTGGTACACTTATATCATATTTTAAGAAGAAATCAAGTGTTACTTGCTTTTGTTATAACAATGATCTCCTCTCTCTACTGCATTTTCCTTTTCTCTTTCTTCTTTTCCTAAACCCTCAGGATATAAACAACAGATGATCTCCAAGTCTGCACAGCTCCCTACAGCTACTCTCATTTCTTTCCTTTTTTAGCTAAACTTGTTTCAGACATTTCTTAATTCTGTTACACAAATGTTGCTACATGTCCATTGTTGGAAAATAGAGTCGTACACTGGCTGCCTCCAGTCTCCATTTCCTGTTCACCAGTCCATCCATTGATTCACCCACCGAAATAGGGTGGCTAATCTCTCTGCTTCCCCAACATTGCAGGCAAAAAAAAAAAAAAAAAAAAAGCAATGATCTTTATATTCACTAATCTATTGAAGTCTTTTGGTGTTCAGACTACTTGCCCTGTGACTTGGCAATGCTGACCCTCTCCTTTAATTAAATGTTTCTAGATTACAATCTCTCCTAGCTTTCCCTTCTCTTTCTTTCTGACTTCTATTTATATTCTGAACCTCTCTGTTTCCTCTAACACTTTTTAAGGGGTTTCTAGCATTTGAAGTTCTTTGAGAGTCTAAGATCTCAAAAGAGTGTTCAACGATTCCAAGGTTTTAACAATCCTCTCTATCATGATGACTCCTGAGTCTCTTTCTCCAATTCCATGTCTGGAAGAAAACCTGCACTCCAGTGTGAGCATACACCTGCTTTCTAGAAATCTCCTGTTATCTCTGCCTATGTCTCAGAGGCTCTGTATGTCCTGTATGTCTCAGAGCCATGTATCTAAAGTGAAATTCACTATCTCCCTTTCCTTTAATTGCTCTTGTCACTTTATGCTTTTGAGTGACATTATCATCTTATTCTGTCTCTTAAACCAGATATCTGGAAATCATTCCCAACTCTCCCTTCTCATTTTGAGAGCATATGATAACAATTACATCTTAAGGAGCCTGAGAGACATGATATAAATAAAAATGACCATCTGCAATGTTTGCCAGGTTTGGTATTATTGTTTCCAGACCAAGACATAGGATGTTTTCCACTGCTATAATCTTTATGTCTTGATTTTTCCGGTAACAATTCAGTCTACTCTTCTTTGATTACTGATTCCTGGAGGATAGGGACCTAAGCTCTTCATTAGGACTGCTTAAGTGAAAGTTCAATAAATTTAAATTAAGACAGTGATAAGAATAGCTGAGTCATGCTAGCTGTTATAAGAGTTAATGCAAGACTCTGCCCAGTCTTATCTGACTCTACAAAGAGGGAGAAAAGAAGGCTAACGCTTAATGATGTGGCTTTCGCATTGTCTTTCTAATGACAGACTAGTATTTTAGAAGCCTATGGGGATTTGAATATGGTAGGTGTTCAAAAACTATTTACTTAATGAGTAAATGAATAGATAAACACATAAGGCACACATATTTTGATCATCATGATTTTTTGATCAGCATATCTATGCAAATAGAAGCATAGTGAAGAACCTTAGAAATATGGTAAAAGTAAATGTGAGTTAGAGTTTTCCTTTTGCAACTTCCTAGTTGTTTGAGCTGACACAGGCCATTTAACCATCATAAACCTAAGTCTACCCATAATGCACCTGCTCTGACAACTCTGAAGGGTTGTTTGAGAATCAAATGAAAGAATGAAGGTGAACGTGTTGGATAAGTGTAGGAAAATTCCATAGCAAAAAAGTTAAAGCTCAAGGAGAAATTAAAAATCACCTCTTCAAACTCTTTCCTTTCACATATGAGGACAATGAGGCCCAGAAATTTCTTTCAGCATACAGGGTGATAGTTGGCATTTTAGCCTCCCTGAAAGATGTCCTAGAAACTTGAGACTGAGTTAGAGTCTTGTTGGTTTAACCTCCTTTCCTTCTGATAGCACTTTTTTAACGTATCCTATTTGCTTATCTTGCTGCTGCTTTTTCTTATTAAAAGGGAGGCTGCTTTGCTAAACTCAAACTGGGGAATTTATCGTGTTGTATTCCTAAAGATCACTGACATTTTAAAAAAGAAGGCAATGTATGAGGGTGTAAAAGACACAAAACTCTAGTAGGATTTCAAATTTGTTAGTGTATATATCTGATACATCTATTTCAGTAGTGGTTGGACTATTAGGTGCTCCCAGGACTGAAGTTTTTGATCAATTGATTGTATTTTTGCTAAGAGAAATAATTTTCTCTTCATAGATCAATGTTAGCTTATTTAACTAAACTCTGTTGTATAATTTAAGAGTATAAAAGGAATCCACTAAAATATATAGCTGATGCACACATATATACATGTATAATTAATTTTTTTCAGGATAATTCATTTAAACTATAGTAATGACAGATTTAAATACTCAAAACTACTATAAACTAATAATGAACATAGCAGTCCCCCACCCTACATTTCAGTATAAGCTCCACTCTCAAGAGGTCATATTTTCAACTCTATTATGGATTTCTTTTAATATTTACTTTAATATTCTTGCTGGTACCCTTTTTGTTTAACTTATCAATTTTAAATATCAATTATTTTCTTATTAGACAAGGATTTAGCACATTTGCTCAGACACACTCTTACCCCACCTACAACCATGGTTTCCTTCAGTAGCTTCTAATGTATGTATATCATAAACTTTGATTAAATAAATATTTACTGTGTGTTATTATGCAATGTAAATATTTTTAACTGATGAAGAAAATGGTACAAATTTATTTTAATTCCTTCATTGTACTGCATGTATTTACCATATATATGTTCGTGTATAGAGGTATGTTATTCCCTATACACATACAACTATTTCATTAACATTTTCCAAAACAGAATTATTTCTCAAACAGAATTGTAGAACCATTTTGGAAATGTTTTACACCCAGTGGATGGAGGCAACATAGTATGCTAGTCAAAAGCCAGATCTGCTTGGGTTTGAATGAATCTCTGTTATTTACTATATGTGAAAAATTGAACAATTGTTTATCTTTGCCTTAAGTCTCCTCATCTGTAAATTAAGGATAGTAGTAAATGAGTTAATATTTTTAAAGCACTTACAACATGGTAAACGGTTTATAAAATCAAACATATTAAGTTCACTTTTTTCTCCTGGGAGATATTTCCCCTGGAATTTCATATCCTTCTACTTCAGTCTGGTTCTATACCAATCTAAGCAAATCTGGCAAATAATAATTTTCAGGTTCTTTGTGTCACATTTCAGTTGTCTCACAGATAATGAGGGCTATTACAGTCTCCCCCATAACCTACACAGAGGTCTTACGTTTGATAAAAATAAGTTCAGTTGTATCTTACATAACAGGCGTTTATTTGCAACAAACCTTTAAAAAATTCATGAAGTGAATCTTCATTGTAAGGTTTCTTCAGACAATAATTAAGCCTGCCTAAGGTGTTGATCATTACACAAAAATCAGTCTTTACTGCTGTGCTGGCTTTTCGAGTGCATTTATGAATAATACAACCCTTACTCTCTGGGCCTGTGGGGGTGTCCTGGTCCTGGGCTTCCTTCACCCATCTCCTGGGTTAGATCCCTTGCCTGGTCTCATGTTTTGTTCTTCCTTGATTAACCCCATAGCATTGACGGGGCACAGCCTCTGATCACTTCCTGTGCACCTGAGATACTTCTCTTTTTGTGTGTGAACTCACATGTATAAAAATGCTTGTAGTCAGCCCACTTGTTTAACTGATATTTTGACTAGATAGAATTCTGATTTGAAATAATGTCCCTTCCAAATGTTGAAGATACTTGAAAACAGGATTGTCTTGTTGCTTCTGGAGTTGAAATTGAAAAAGTTGATAAAGTTGTAATTTTCAGTTCTTAGATTGTGAATATTTTTGTTCTCTTTAAGCTTTTGAGGCTTTCCTTTCATCTTCCATTTCTGAACTTTTACAGTGTGTCTTGAGAGGATGTATTTCAGTCACTCACTGGGAACTCAATGAATCCTTTCAACCTAGAAACTCATGTCAGTATAGTCCATCAATTTTTTT